AAATAGAGATAATATATAGCAGTTATAATAATGTAAATAATTTAAAATGTAGCTTACAAATCCTTAATTGTATGACTCCACAGAGTGGTAATAAAAATTGTTTACAGCTGGTGCATCAATATATACAAGGCATGATAGGTAAAGAGCTAGAAATTGAATTGTTCTTAAATAGCAACAATATTCATATTTTATGTATTACTCAACATTGGTTAAAAGCTTATAACTTAATGTAGCTGTATGTAGCTTTATGTAGCTTCAGTAATCACCAGGTGGTGAGTTCTTTTAATAGAGAAACGGTTTTAAGAGGTGGCTCCTTAATATTAGCTAATAAATTATTGTCATGTAAAGAACGTAAAGATATTGTGAGCCTCTCTGTTGAGCGAACTGTAGAAAAGGCATGTGTTGAGTTTGAGCGCATCATTGATGTGAGTATCAGCAGACCCACATGTTCTATATATGATACTTTTGAAAAAACTATGGAGGAAGTCTTTTTTAAGTATAATAATCTGAATAAATCTGTTGTAATATGTGGAGACTTTAATATTAATCCCCTAGAAGATTCGGGGGCTTTAAATTTAGATCATTGTTTAAATCATATGGTATTTTTAATTTAGTTTTAGAGGCAACGCGTATTGCTGAATCTAGTGCAACATGTATAGATAACATTTTTTGTTAAGCCATTGCATAAATGTATAATTCAAAAATTAAGTTCTGATCACTGTGGACAGTTAGTTTCATTACCTTATGTTCACAAAAAGCAAGTAGATGAGAAAGTTGTGTTTGATCAACCGTAACGTCGCCCGCGTTTAATATTGGGTTTTTAATTTTTTGCGTGGAACCCTAATTCTTTTTCTCCTTATAACATTTGCTAGTGAAAGTCCCGTTAAAATCGGTCCAACCATTTTGGAGATTAGCTGGAAGAAACAGACAGACAGACAGACAGACATAAATTTAAGAAGTTGTGTTTTTGTTATAAATACCGTCTATACTTTTATATGTAGTAAAAAGCTGTTATTTTGATATTACAAACAGACACTTCATTTTTATTTAGTTATATGAATTGTTTAAGGTTATTTGGAATTAATTTGATAATACTTTTCTTTCTAAAACATTCTTCTTGAATAATAGGAAGGTATTCAATAAATGGGCGACAGTAGGAGTCCATACGAGCATACAAAGGCGAGCATATAATATGAACTTTACTATGGAATGTCATATAATCGTAGCGTCGAGTTTAGGGAATATTCAAAAATATTTAAAAGAGTGTGCCCCACAGTCAAGGTTTTGCATTTGAGCAACAAAATTAATACGGCTTCGATTTTATTCACCATGAAACATTAACATCGACTCAACCGAGTCAATAATTTGTTACCGGGGCAATGTATTACGCTTTTACAACCAAAAAATATACAATATTTGACCTGTTCAAAGTTCAAGAACTTTATTAAACTAAGTTTATACAAATAGGGTTATTATATTATTAAGGAATTCATGGATGATAATAACACCTGGGAATGAGGTGATCGCTATCAAGCCATTTCTAAGCTTCCTTATTTGTTTTGTGTTGTTAATTATGTATCATGCACGATTGTAAGCTGTTTTTTTTTAAGTCCCGCTGCGTTTCTTGCTGGTTATCCCCAGGACAGAGGTTTTTTCCGAACCAGTGGTCATTAAACATAAGAGTGACTTTCAATACGTATTATTTATAATCTACATTGAATTAAAAAGTTTCTGTTTCTGTTTATGTTTCAATAACACTAAATAACTGATTTTGCTCCGACCCGGGATTCGACTCCGAAACTTCATCATGGTTAGCGTTTACGACCAAGAGACCAGTCAGGTAGTCAATTTAATAAATCAGGTTTAACAAAATCATGGGAACTCGTATGAGTTGCACGCTTCAAAGGAAGGCCGAGTGATCGTCTAAATCATCTCTTGCTGGCTGATCTTCAAACTTTACAAACAATAAAAACGTTTTGAATGAAATTGTGCTTGATAATTGCTATTCTAGAGATGCACGTACAATAATATGCACGTCGGCACGTAAAACAATATCCAGACTGCGAGAAATTTATGGAATACGTGGTAGAGCCATGCTGCAGCTATATTAATAGTGTAGTTGTAGCACGAATGGGTCGGCTCCACCGGGGAAGGACCACGCTCTCACAGAATACCAGCGTAAAATAGCAGCTTAATGCTGCTGTGTTTCGTATGGTTAGTGTAGAGAACTGGAGACCCATTTTACTGGAAAAAAGGCATTCCAACTTAGTCCTCACGGCTGACAACGCATCTGCATTTTGATTCGTAATCGAGGATAAATGTAGATGTTTATGGGCCACAGCAAAAAATTATTAGACATCCAGCAACGTATATACTGGATGTCTAATAATGGCAATATAACTGGACGGTTTTAGAAATTTTAAAAGGTTACCAGTTCTTTGTTTATACGTTTCTTTTTAATTTGTAATACTTATCTGACTTATACACTATACGCGTAATGGTTTAAATATTTTTTGTTCAATTCTTATTAGCAACCACGGAAGATCAGCGTCGATGTACTCGTACTTTGTCAGTAGTAAGACTATGCTGAGTTGGGTAACTTTTTAGTAACCATTAACTGAATTCATAATATTATGGTATTACTGTGAAGAAATTGCTATAATGTGTTACTAAATAACCTTATTTCTTTCATCTTCTTTCTTCTTCTTGAAATATCAATGGAATATATATAAAATATTTACTCTCGTTTCATTCAGGAAGAAAATACAGGAATACATTTGGATGGATCTAACGCCGCCCGCACACCCTCTTAACGTCACTCTCAGAGAGGTAATAAATACACAATGTCAAGATCCTTTACGGGTTCGTAATTCGATAATGTTAGATAATTTGGACATAAAACGGCTTGCTTTAAAAACACTTGATAAAGTTAAAAATTTTATACAACCGATTTCAATATTATTAAATTGAGAACATCATCAATGCAGTCGAAGTAATTAAATACGCATTATTGAGCAAATAAATAAATATATATACACGCGCTCACGTTGAGACATACTTTCGGAGAGCATATTTTATTAGTAATGATTTTTTTATATTTAACTTCAAATCAGTACGTCAACATCCGTCCTACTAAATACTAACCATTCAAGTAAAGATTTGCCACAATAACTTTATAACTACTTTACTTTTTAATAAAACCTTTAAACATTGGCGATCTTTTCCTTTTGACTTGCTCATATACTAACTTCAACTCTACTTCTAGAAAGTGTATGGCCCTGCAAATCATACAATATATATATATAATAATAGTAAGCTGAAGTTGCAATATATATTTATATACATTGCAACTTCTGCTTACTGATCCTTTTAGCTATGTCAGCTACTCTAAATTTTTCTCTGAAATGAAAACCTATGATTAGCAGTCGACTTGTGATGAGCTGTAATAATAACCATGACTTCTTTACTTTTCTACCGATTTCAAAAAGGCGGAGGTAATCAATTCAACTGTATGTTCTTTTTATGTGTGTTAACTTATAACTTTTTTCTAGGTGAACCGATTTTGATGATTCATTTTTTTTAAAGCTGGTACTTCTTTTGTGTTCCAATATAAATTTAATTAAAGTTTCACTAATAGTTGTTGAGTTATCCTTAATAATTTAGATTTTTTTTATATGATAAGGGTGACAAACGAGCACACAGTCCACCTGATGGTAAGTGGTTGCTGCGGCCCATAGACATCTACATCTATCCTCTGTTACAAATCAAAATGTAGATGCGTTGTCACCCGTGAGGACTAAGATGGAATGCCTTATTTCCAGTAAAAAGGGCCTCTGGCCACCTGCACTCACCAAGCGAAACGCAGAGGTAAACCTCTACTTCACGCTGGTTTTCTGTGAGGTCGTGGTACTACCCCGGTTCGAGCCGGCCCATCCACGCGACAGCAAAAGCTGCCGCATGGCTCTACCACTGTTAAAAAGTCGGTTGTACAAAATTTGTTATTTTATTACTTGTTATTAAAAACGAGGGGTTTTATTTCAGTCTCCAATACATCTTCATTTATATTATTAATCTCTATGGGCCACACTATTCCCTTAGCATCAGGTGAACTGTGTGCTCGTTTATCACCCTATCCTATCGTTTGTAGCCCTATTCATAAGCTCAAAAGTATGTTATAAAACAAAGACATTTCAATTGACTTTTAGGAATTCTGATATTAAGATCCACAAGTCCACTGCTAAACATAGACCTTCCCTTTTATTCTTTTAAAAGAAATTACTTGGTCTCGTATGCGTTTCTATGCCATTCAACCGATAATGAAACTTTGGCCAGTTATTGTGTGCGCACTCGTGAATGTTTTAGATATACAAAGGATGCTGGGTACAGTTAGTATTTTCGACGTGGTAGAGCCATGCTGCAGCTATATTAGTAGCATAGTTGTAGCACGAATAGGTAGGCTCGACTGGGGAAGGACCACGCTCTCACAGAATACCAGCGCAAAATATCAGCTTAACACTGCTGTGTTTCGTATGGTGAGTATAGAAAACCCTTTTTACTGGAAAAGAGGCATTCCATCTTAGTCCTCACGGGTGACAACGCATCTGCATTTTGATTTGCAAACGAGGATAGATGTAGATGTCTATGGGCCACAGCAACCACTTACCATCAGGTGGACTGTGTGCTCGTTTGTGACCCTATCCTATCGTTTGTAGCCCTATTCATAAGCTCAAAAGTATATTATAAAACAAAGACATTTCAATTGACTTTTAGGAATTCTGATATTAAGATCCACAAGTCCACTGCTAAACATAGACCTTCCCTAAAGAACGCCACAAAGTACGATCCTGAGCCACCTGCATCCTTCCTGAAACTCTTACCAGTTCATCACTCAATATAGTGGAGGCCACCCTACCCTTCCCTTTCCAGTATTTATACAACATTAATGGTCTAAGATTCAAGGTTAGAAAGAACTAGTTCTACAGTAGTAAAATAAATATTACCAGGTGGATATTCGTGGTAGTTCACCGTCGTGTAGTGAGCAAATGGGGCTGCAGCGAAAAGGGACAGCGCCCAGAGTGCAGCTACGATTCGTAGCGCCCGTCGTAGGCCCGCCATGGCGTAGATGTGTAGTGGATGGCAAATCGCCAAATACCGCTCCAGGGTGAACGCCACGATCGTTAGCACCGACACGTACGATGCCCTGATTTAGAAAAGAAAGAAATTTAATATATTATCATTGTTTGTAACAATTTTGTCTTAGCTTGATTCGATCCCCACACGGAATAAGTATCTGTATGGCCTACAAATAAATGTTCTGGGTCTAGATGTTTGTCCTTGAGCAATTTATGTTTGTAAACTGGTTCTACGATAAATAATAAAATCTTAGTTGTGAGATAACGTTTTTTTAAGAAAGAAGGTAATGTATGAATAGTGGTTCATCATTCAAGACTCGCTTTACGAAACACAGCAGCATTAAAATGCTATTATACGCTGGTATTGTTTGTGAGGGTAGTTTTACCCCGGTCCAGCCGTCCCGTTCACTATTAAGCTAATAATATAGCTGCATCATGGTTTTTTTTCATTCACTACTTCATCACAGCCCATTAAAGTCATAGAAGGATGTTTGCAATAGTTTTTACGCTTGGCAGGGGCAGCAACCGAAGCTTTGTATAATTTGATGTTGATATCAGAAAGATATTGATGCTCATCTCCGGTTACATTTCCCCGTGTCGCCTCTTCCGACAACCACGGGATGATTTATGTATTTCTTACGCCGCCGTTACAAGAATAAAAAAATTTAATTTCGTGATTTGAGAATTTATTACTTACACAATTTTTTTTTAATATTATACTATTTGTACGTGGTAGAGCCATGCTGCAGCTATATTAGTAGTATAGTTGTAGCACGAATGGGTCGGCTCGACCGGGGAAGAATACCAGCGTCAAATAGCAGCTTAACACTGCTGTGTTTCGCATGGTGAGTGTAGAGTACCGGAGATACTTTTTACTGGAAAAGAGGCATTCGATCTTAGTCCTCACGGGTGACAACGCATCTGCATTTTGATTCACAAACGAAAATAAATGTAGATGTCTATGGGCAACAGCAACCACTTACCATCAGGTGGACTGTGTGCTCGTTTGTCACCCTATCCTATAAAAAAATATTTATCATCCACAAAGTTTTCTTTAGATTTTTAATTCTACGTTCCATTTTTATCACAGCTTGTTTAGGATAAGAGGGAGTAGGTATGTTTAGAATAGTTATTTACTTTATTAAAGGTCCATCCAACATTTTTAATTGCAATTTTTAAGTAAAACGTCAAACTTGCAGTCCACCTGATGGTAAGTGGTAGCCACTACAGCCCAAAAAGGCTAGAGATACGTTGTCACCTCTGCTAAGATGGAATGCCTCACATCCTGTAACTATACTGGCTCTCTATACGCTTCAGAGCGGAGCACTGCAGTCCAAACAAACCTACCACCTGATGGTAAGCGGCTACTGCCGCCCATAGACACACGCAGCTATCTTTAAATAAAGCAGGTTACAGATTTTTATAGGAGAGGGGGCAAATAAGTATGCGGCTCACCTGATGGCAAGTGAGTACCGCCGATCATGAACAACTACAACACCAGGGGAACCAAGAGAATTGCAGATGCGTTGTCGGCCTTTTAAAAAGGAATAGGCTCATTCCTTGAAGGTGCCTAAGTCGTATCGGTCCGGAAAAATCGCTGGTGGTAATCTATTCCACAAGGAAGTTGTGCGAGGAAGAAAATTTCTTCTAAAGCGTACAGTAGTGGACCGGCAATCATCCAGATGGTATGGTTGGTATCGCGAGATTTGTCGCGATGTGCGATGGTGAAATTGAGCGACTGGAATTAGTCCTCAGAGCACTACCCGTGGTAGATGCGATAAAATACGCAAAGAGATGCAACATCTCTACACAGTGACAATGAGTCAAACCAATCTGAAAGAACCCAGTCGTCGATGTGTGTTCACCTCTGATGACTAAGGTAGAATGCCTAACAGCCGTAATTACACTAGTTTTCTATACTCTTCAGAGTGAAACACAGCTATGCAAGAACTGCTACTTGGCTCTAGAATCAGATAAGACAGAGGTACCTGTACATACTCCTAGGCAAAAAAGGGGGCCTACCACCTAGAAAATTCTAAATAATAATACCATATGAATACTTGTCGGTTCACCACTGAGATATTTACGAGGAGTTAACAAACTTAGTAACAAAGTTAGTAACAACTAGCACCTTGACCGATACGATTTAGGGACATTCAATAAACGAGTTTACTCCTTTTTTTAAAACCGGTAATACACCTAATGTTGTAGTTGTTCATGGGCGGTTGTTGACACTTACCATCAGGTGAGCCGCATACTCTTCTATAAAAATATATATTCCCGCTTTGTATATGCTTTGAATTATTTTATTTCTTATCACCCCATAACTCCACAGTTGAACATGGGTCTTTTCCGCTGTGGGGACGCTGAATATATATATATGGGAACGGTAAACATACTCGGATATGTGATGTACCTTGATCGCGACGCTACGCGTCAGATGCCTTTGACGTAGTTTCAAATGCACCGAATTTTTAGCCGTCATCTTTGAAAGTATATTTTAAGTTGATATTACACATAAACTTTCAAAGCAAAACCAAAGGCTATAAACCGCGGTGAGAAACCAAGCAGTATATCTTACAGCATATGTTTTTTGCGTATTAAAACAATTTGATAGTTTCCTAACGGATTTCAGGAAAAGCTCATTCCACCAGCTTCCTCCTGCTGGAGAACTGCCCGTACACAGACTATCTTAAACAAATTTTAAACGAAATTAGAAAGTCACTGAAATAGAAGCTTTAATTTCATTTCCGGTCAGTAAATCCACTACTAAACATAGGCCTCGTCCATAGATCGCCACAAAATACTGTCCTGAACCAACTACATCCATCGACTGCCTTCGTCTATTTTACACGCATTTCTATACATCACTTAGCAAAATGTTATACTTACGCCTCAGATATCAACGCTCTAAATTTGCAGAACACTACGCCAAAGCTGTACGGATACTGGTGCCAGTACACCCACAGGTCGTTAGGGAGACCTGCCAACAAGCACAGAGTACTGCATTAATTGATTTATAATCATTGGTCTACAATGCTGATCATCCATCTAGAGATAATAGATGAACAAAGAAAGATACTATCTATTAGAGTTTTCAAAAGTCCACTCTTGTCTCCTATAGACTCATTGGGAACCCCTTCCCCTTAAATGTAACCCCCCGGTTACATTAGTTGCCACGCTTGGCTGGTGGGTTGGCTTCTGCAGTACTTTACTATTTTGTGTCGCTATCAGGAAGATATGCTGCCCATCTCCTGGTTCCGTTTCTCTGCGTCTCTCTTACAACACCCACGGGGCAATTTGATGTGGTGGATATGTTCACACCGCCATATTATAATTTTTTTAAATATACAGTTTACAGTCTTATAAGTCACATTGTTACACAATTAACAACACAACACAAATTAAGTGATAGCTTGGTAGCGAGATAGAACAGAAACAGAAACTTTTTATTCAATATAGATTATAAATAATACGAGTACTTATTGAAAGTCACTCTTTTGTTTAATTACCACTGGTTTGAAAAAAAACCTTCTGTCCTATGAAGAACCAGCAAGAAACCCAGCGAGATTTTTTTTTAATAACAGCTTACAATCATGTATTTTATACAATTAAACACATAAAACAAATTAGAAATAGCTTGGTAGCGGTCATTGTGCATAGTGCTTACGTCCTCCAGCGATTCTGTCATAAGGACTAAATAGTCGGCAAATCAAAGGTGAGTGATGTACTCGTCATCGATGTTGATACAATTAAAAAAGTTTTATGTACAATATGCCGAAGGGTCCATGGTACTGTAGCCTCTTCGGAAACCGGCTTGATCGGTAGGCTCGAATTCGTCGAGTCTGCGTGCGAGACGATTTGTAATGACTTTCAACAGCTGGAGAACCATTCGTCAGTAGCCTAATGGCAAGGCGCGGACTGCGAACTCGAAAGATCGTGGGTTCGAATCCACCGTTCGACTACTGTCGTGAACCACTTCTAACACAAGCATTTCAAGCTTACCAGAAGTGGTTAAAGGTTAAAGGGAATATTAGTAATGTTTAATAGTATTACTAGTATTTATTTAAAAAAAAAACTGTCCAAATGGCGTCTATATAGTAGCGCCCATTTGACCTTTTATTATTTGATTGACCGATGAAGAGCGATTGTATCACAGAACCATCTATGCAAAGAAGATTGTAGTTTTTGAGTCATAAGAAAGTGACCATATTAAACCGATGCTCATACTACCCTCACGTAGGCTAGGCATGCTAATAATCATTGCGTTTCAAATCAAAAGACATAACAAAAACATAATGACCGCAATAAAAACTTTATTGAAGTAATAACAATTTCCTTTTACATTGCAATGTGATCAAATGACTTTAATATGGCCGCCTCTCCCACAAAACGGTAATAACACTCGATAAAATTAAATGAGGCTGTTATTGATCACTCACTGACAATTGTCTACATATTGGTTTTTTGACGCTGTGGCTTTAATATAATTATTGTGTAAGTTTGATGATATTTTTAAAGATTTTTTTTATAAAATTGTCAACACAAACGAGCATATAGTCCATAGACATTTACGTCTATCTTCAATTAAGAATCAAAATGCAGATGCGTTGTCACCCCTGAGAACTAAGATGGAATGTCTGGTTTACAATAAAAAGGGTCTCCGATTCTCCACACACATACGAAACACAGCAGCATTAAGCTATGGGTCGACTCGACCGGAGAAGGACCACGCTTTCACAGAATACCAGCGTAAAATAGCAGCTTAATGCTGCTGTTTCGTATGTGTGTGGAGAATCGGAGACCCTATTTACTAGAAAAGAGGCATTCTATCTTAGTCCTCACGGCTGACAACGCATCTGCATTTTGATTCGCAAACGAGGATAGATGTAGATGTCTTTGGGCCACAGCAACCACTTACCATCAGGTGGACTGTGTGCTCGCTTGTCACCCTTACCCTATAAAAAAAGAATGGCTCTACTACGTAACAACCATGTTATGTAAAGTAAATTCACAGTTTTATTCATCACACTACTTCTCATTTCTGAGAGAGATTAAAGGCAAGGAAGTGTCCGATGTATCCAATGCATGTGTGCGGATTTCACATGCCTTCAAAATATATATTTTTTTATTTCTGAGACATGCAGGTTTCCTCTCGATTTAAGTAAATCAACACTTCAAATTGCAATTAACAATGTCATTGGAGCCAGCGGGGATTGAACCCGGGTTGCTAACGTTTTACGGCGAGCGGTTAGCTCCTGAACTACCATGGCTCTATGACAATTCAATTAAAATTGCCAAAAACACACTTACCCGATACAACTGTTTTCTGTTTCCATTTCATAATCACTTAGGTTTTTCAAAATTGGTTCATATTACCTTCCAAACATGTTTTTGCTTATTTAATATATAATATTGCATTAAGATGATTGATTTATAATGACCCTTGCAAATGCGTCTACTATATTAAAATCGCGACAGTAAGTGACACATAGTGTCCAATGAGGAGCGGTGTTACGCGATATACAGGCGAATTTATCATTGCATTAGTGACATAAACGTTATTTTACGCCGGAGACTTAAATTGAATTTTGTATTTGTGGAATTTGTCATGATCAAATATTATGTTAATTACTCATTTGAAAAAAATTTTAGCAGTCGATATAATACTGCCTCAGGAAGGTCAAAAGTATGCAAATTACGCAAGTGCCACTTGTCGGATTACACTTAGGGAACGTCGATCTTAAATCTATAAAACACAACTTTAAAAGATCCTATCCAGGCGAATACAGGACGGGTCGCTATTATTTAATAAAATAGGTACATTATGAGAGTCCATTTTTAACTGACTTCAAAAAAGGGGGAGGTACCTAATTCGAATGTATTTTTATGTGTGTTACTCCAGAACTTTTTTCTATGTGAACCAATTTTGATGATTCGTTTTCATTTGAAAGCTGATGCTTCTCATGTGGTCTCATGAGTCGCTCGCGTCCGTAGTCTTCGACAAACTAATCCTAGGCCCACCCTACACGTGTTCCCCGGGTGGTGCTAAACAAGCGACAAAGCCGAAAGAACAGACTCCGCTCCTCGCCGTGTGGTAGCGGCGTAAAAAATACCACACCCAACTTTCGCACCATGAGGCAAAAAATTTACGAAATGGCCCCGAGTTCCCGGCGCCCCTTTAATGGGGCAGGGGTGCGAAGAATCTCCAGGAGGAAAACCAGCGACAAGGTTCGCCACCCCTCACATCCTGTCCCCCGGAAGGGCGAAAAGTGGATTGCGGAAGCCCGTCTGGCTACATTGAATATATGTGGAGGAATGAATGATAAGATGGATGAAGTATGCGATATGATGTATTTTTTTTTTTTTTTATAGGAGAGGGGGCAAACGAGCATGCGGCTCACCTGATGGTAAGTGACTACCGCCGCCCATGAACAACCGCAACACCAGGGGAATTGCAGATGCGTTGCCGGCCTTTTAAAAAGGAGTAGGCTCTTTTCTTGAAGGTCCCTAAGTCGTATCGGTCCGGAAAAATCCCTGGTGGTAAACTATTCCACAAGGAAGTTGTGCGAGGAAGAAAACATCTTCTAAATCGCACAGTGGTGGACCGCCAATCATCCAGATGGTGTGGATGATATCGGGAGTTCTGCCGCGATGTGCGTTCGTGAAATTTGGCGGCTGGGATTAATCCGAACAATTCCTCAGAGCACTCCCCATGGTAGATGCGAAAGAAAATGCAAAGAGATGCAACATCTCTTCGCAGTGCCAATGAATCGAGCCGATCGGAAAGGGCTCGGTCGTCGACGATTCGAGCCGCTCTGCGCTGGATGCGGTCAAGTGGAAGGAGCTGGCACTGGGGAGCCCCTGCCCAGAGATGGGAACAGTATTCCATGTGAGGCCGAACCTGCGCCTTGTAAAGTTGCAGGCGGTGTGCCGGCATGAAATACTGTCCCGCTCTGCTGAGCACGCCAAGCTTTTTAGAGGCCAATTTGGCCTTCTCTTCCAAGTGACCACGAAACTGCACGTCACTCGATATGTCGACTCCGAGGATACCGATACTGGCTGAGGCAAGAAGGGGAGTGCCTTGAAACTAAGGAGATACGACAAAGGGGTTCTTTTTAGCGAATGTATGAAGGAGGAATAGACGTGTTATGTGTAAATGAGACAAAACGGAAGGGAAAGGATGCCACTACACATGGCATGTATACCGCGTACTGGTCTGGTGTAGACGAGACCGAGCGGGCATGCCAGGGAGTCGGTATCATCCTTTCAGAAAGAATGGGTCATTGTGTGAAAGAGTATGAATGCGTAAGCCCGAGACTGCTATGGATACGAATGAAAGTGGGCTTAAAGAAGTTGTTCGTTTTAGGGGTCTACGCTCCAGACATGTCTAAGCACACTTATATCCGAGAGCAGTTTTGGGAGTTGGTAAGGATGGTGCTAATGAAATGCAAGGTTAATGAAAATATTGTGGTATTAGGTGATTTTAATGGAAGGGTTGAGGTGAGGAGGCTTGGGTATGAAAGGATATTGGGAACGTTTGGTGATGAAAGTATAAATGAGAATGGTGAAAGCCTCCTCACCGTATGTGTGGAAAAGAATCTTTTTGTGACGAACACTTTCTTTCCTCATAAGAAGATTCACATGTATACATGGGAAAGAGGTGATGATAGAAGTATGATAGATTTCATAATTGTTGATGAAAGAATGAGGAGCGCGGTGGTAGATACAAGGGTTTACCGGGGCTCTAACGTTGGGATGGACCATTACTTGGTTTTATGCCGAATTAATGGTCTTTTCAGACGTTGGAGGCATCGGCCATCTATGTCTACCACTGCGTTACAGCGTATAAAAACAGAGAGGTTACAAGATGAAGATGTGAAAGAGAAGTTTAAATGAAGATTGAGAGAAAATGTAAGTGGTATAGCTGAATTGTGTATGAATGATTTAGACTTGGAGACTGTGTGGTATAATGTCAAGAAA